ATTTTATTTATTTATTTGTTTATTTATTTATTTATTTAATTTGAGCCTCATGTCTTTAAAAGAGAATAGACTAGTAAGTAAGGATCTTGACACGTCCCTTCTTTTCATGGTGACCACAGACTATTTCTCTGTCTTCTTCTTTCTTGTCTTCCACGTGAAACAGAAAAATATTGTTTCACATCTTGAGAATAATGACATATAAATTTAAAAAAGAAACAAAAAGTCAAGATACATATAATAGTGCAATAATGAACATTAATAAAAGTTGACTTGAAAATTAAGTATTTTCCCCAAATCCTGAGTGATTAAAAAAAAAGAGTAAGAAGTTAGATCATGATGATCAGCTTAAAATTGCTTTAAAAGGATTTTGATTAAAGTTATACTGTTTTGGCCTTTTTAGTGGAAATAACCACAAAATAAAACAAAAACAACATCAACCATAAACAAAACAATTAGGCTTGTCTCAGTAAACTTATTTAAAATGCTCCTTTTATTGTTGAATGCAGTGAAATATCTTTGCATCATTCCAACTGTGTTTTTCTTACCCCAAGGGAAAATCACTTTGAAGAATGCCCAAATTATTTGGTGGATTACATCTCAGGCTACTGAGCCACAAGAGTAAGGACATAGTGCCTGTAAGTTCAGCTGGATCACTAGCTCAGCCCTGGGATTTGCTCGTGTGCTGGACACCGAGTGAAAAGCGTTAAGCTGCCATTTGGTACCATGGATATTTGAAAACCCAATACATCCAAGAGACATTTTTCATAAGACAGAAAGCAACTTACCTGTAAAATATTTGGGTATATGAGCACACAACATACAGAGACTATGAAATGTATTTGGCATGACATGTAGGAAAGTCTCCCTTTCTTTCCTATTACTCAAGAGAAATTATACACACACATACCTCATACATAGAAATATATTTATATTAATAGAATGCCTCTGTTCCAAAGTCCTCAAAGCACTCCACAGACATGATCAAAACCGTTCTTCTATCTCTTTGAATAAAGAGTGAGTGGTTGTGGTTCCTTACTTTTTCCTCCTGGAGAGCATTGCACAGCTGTCCAAGCAGGCCCAGGAGCTGGCTTTCTCCATCTCTCACTTTCTCTGCTGCTGTCTTCACCACTGTAGGCTCTCTGGTTACATAATGTGTGTGCGATTTGATCAGTCATCAAATCAGTGTTCTGGCAAGGATTTCTTCCTCTCTGCTTTCCTACCATTCTTAGTTTTTTTTCTCAGTAAGCATTCCTCTAAGTCCTCCTATTATAGCAGCAAGATACGCAAGCAGGCCTATTGGATAGGAGGAAAGCAACAAAAAGGTGTTAGATCCAGGCTTTCATGCTTATCTTGGGATCTCTGTGGTACTGTCACTGTTCTGAGCACAAAAGATTCTCCGAAGTGGTACTAAGAAACTGCCAGGAGAAAAGGGACAATTCTAACAGAGCAATTAAAAAACCTAACAATAAAAGTCAGTCAGCTAAAAAGTAGCTGTGTATGCACCGAGGTGACAAAGTTTCTGGCAGTTGGCTGCATTTTTTATTATTTTCCTCTGGTCCATACTCAGAGTAGAAATGTGAAATCCAGAATGATAGGATAAGTTCAAGTTCTCAACATCTCATTCAAGCTCAGTTGAGGTCCTGAGGATGCAGAAGTGTTTTTCTGGGATGGGGCCCAGCCAGGATCTGCAAGAGGAGAATTACCACTTGAATCTCTTTGTCCCTGAAAAGTTGCTCTTGCCTGTGGCATTTCCCTTGAATTCAGCTTCTGCTTCAAACACTGGTGCATGACTAAACTGATGAAAATAATGAAATAGGTAAGTGCAAAAAATTTTGGTAAGATAACATCTGTCACTGTAGTAAAAAGGAAAATTCTGCTTTGCTTTCACACTTTCCCTGCTCATTTGACTCAGGACCTTGAACATCAACCAAGGAAGTGAGAAGGTATTTCCGTTCCTTTCCTTATGCTTTCTCTCTCTCTCTCTCTCCAAAATGGTTCCTTGATACTTTTTAGGAAAGTGTCAAAGATTTGTGATTTGCTATACCTGTGCTGAGAAAGTGATCGGAGTCACATAACTATCAATCTCTCTCTCTACTCAAAATATATTTTTAAGGACTACACACAAGTAGTTTAGATGTAGCTTAACCAAATTGTTAATGTAGCACAATCTCTGCAATTAATCAAAAATGAGTCCAAATTTCTGCTTAACCTGTTAAATAGCATGACCTTGTATAACATATGTAATGTCTCCAGGCTTCAAATTTCTCCTCAGTAAATTACCAGTAATAATGTCTATGTCATAGGTTGTGGTAAAGATGAAATTAGATACTGTATATAAATTGCTAAATTTAGTGCCAGGTATTAAGTAAGCCCATTATGAATAGTGTGTGATTGGTATTTCTTGATAGTCCAAATTTTTATTTTCCTACCAGCAATAAAAACTTATAAATAGTAGATTGTAAAATTTATTTTGCTTATAA